TTAGGGTACCCAAAAAAGGGACCAGAATTTTGACAACCATCCAGAGGTCTGTTGGACCCCCGCCTTGGTCAAATAATTTCGGCTAGGATTTTCCAGGTTTCGACAGAGGGGCTTTCATAAAACTAATTGGCATCAGATTCAAGATTGGGTACTTATTTGGATTCTGGATATTTGTAAGGGCTGAGCTGGGAAAGGATTTTAACAGAGCTGCCTTTAAGAATCCTTTTCTTGGAGCATGAAAATTTCAGCTTCCCTGATGTTTAAGGCCCAAGACCAAACACACACATTCAAGTTCTTCCTAACTGTGGCCTGAAATTGAATAAGAGGCGGCCAAAACACACTATTCAAGGTCTGTGCACTAAAGCCAGTGTAACATTCATAAATTCCCAGATGGCTTGTATAATAATGATAGTAATTACAGGGTACCTCAAATAGACTTCAAAAAGGTATTGATAGCTTTGTAGGCTTCTACATTACCCTCTTCACATTACATACTGGTGCTTAATGGAGAGTGGGGGAGTGGATCCCTCCGACACCTATATAATCCACCAAAATGGCACCTATATTCATTCCCCCACTGCCCCTTAAGCACCAGTAAGTCTAAGCCCTAAACCCTAATCCCTACACCTGAAGCCCTCTGGCCAGGCTTGGGGAAAGGTGGCAAAGGGAGGCGCCTAGAATCATATGAGCCATAGTCTAAACTCCTTAAAGGGGGGTTATATAGGGGATTATATAGGGTATTCCTATAGGGCTTATAAAAGGGGATACTAGGAGTTTAGACTATAGCTCACATGCAGTTCGACGCTTCGGGAAAGCAGGGGTAGGTTTGAACATAATGTTGAATCCTTACTACCCTTAATCCCTATATCATCCGTATCAAGCCAGAAAACAGTGAGTGTTAAAGGGCCCCCCACAAACCTACCCGAGGAAAGGGGGATCAGGTTTTGGGCTTCTGGGGTGGATTCCTAGTTAGGTTGCTGTTTGGGATCTTCTTGAGCTATGGTCTAAACTCCCTAAAGGGGGGAATATAGAGGGGGCTGTATATAGGGAAGCATTATAGAGGCTATTTAGGGGGGTTGCCCGGAGTTAAGAGCCCATATGGAAGGACTTTCCCCATGAGTTTGCCAAAGGCATTGGCCTTGTTTTTATGCAGCGATCTTCTCTAAACCGTTTGGACCTTGTTGGCAGGATTCCTGCTTATGAACGGTCCGAAAGTTCTGGCTATCTGCTGAGAGGTCTCTTCCTCTTTTTGGGAAGCTCCAGGTCTGTTTGCTTGGGGGGTGTGCTGTAGCGGCACCAATAGTGTGAGGTCTCTCTGAGGTACGCGAGGAACCTAGAACCATGAAATGGTAATTTTTTAGTAGTAATAGTAGTAAAAGTAATAATGAGAATGATAAGGGTTTAGGGTTTCAGGTAAGGTAATGGTAGTAATAATAATGGAAAAGAAAATTGAAACTATTCATTTAAGGCCCTTATATATGGTAGGGTCTTACATCTTAGGTAATGTCGAAGCAGAGCTTATGATAGCTTATGTCTCACTGTGACCCGCCTGCACGTAGCTGGCTCAGACGTCTGAAACGACATCTTGTAAAGCAGGTCAACAGTTCTGAATATTGTTTTTCCCCAAAATTAGGGATCCCGTTTTGAGGAACCTCCCTGTATAGGGGGAGATGCTAGGAGAGCGCTCTTAGGATTCGCTGCCGACCATCGAAGCAAGCAACTGGGGACAGCGGAAGCAGCAGCCGCCTTTTGTACTTTGCCTGAAATTGGGTCCCACCCTGACGGACGCAGCACAACAAAACGACCGGTTTCACCAAAAAACCAAACACAGGAGTTCGTGATATCATACTGAACGATCAACATTTTCTCCTGGGGTTTCAAAAAGCAGAAAGCCCCAAGTACTGCCCAAGCAAGCTGCCAAAAGCATCCGGTTGCCAGAGGGAATCTTGCGCACTCTTCCCTACCTAGACCCTCTGAACTGCAGCGCTTTTGGGGCTAAAGTGATTACCAACATTTTGGTCCTAGATTCCTTGTATGTGTTCATGGTATACCCTAAACCCTAAACCCTAAGCCCTATAGGGTGCCTCGACGGTGCAAGCTTGCCTCTATGCCTTCAAATCGCAGGGCCAAGATGCAGCCCAGAAAGGGAAGCGACCTCGAGGCTGTTCTGGGTTTAGAGTTTAGGGTTTGGGGTTGAGGACTTTGGGTCGAGGGTTTGAGGGCTTAAGGTTGGTGATTTAGGGATTCAGGAGTTTAGGGTTTGGGGTTGAGGTTTCGAGGGTTAAGGATCCGACTGACTTGTCCTGAAGGGTAGTGGGCCATAGAATCTGCCCTAGATACCCTGACAATATAGTCCCCCTTAAGTAGATAGAATATGGGGTATATTGATACGCAAAGCCATATTCTATCTATTTGCTTGAGGGGGCACCCTTCCAGATCCGCAACCTTGATTTTAGCACCAATAAGAGAAGTGTCTAAGTTTCCTTCGATGGGCTCTAGGTTTAGGGTTCGGGGTTTAGGGGCCATGGGGCATGGGGATGTCGCAGTTCCTTCTTCCAGGCTGTATCAAAGTAGCTGAAGCTTGGGCTAGGGGCATGGCAGTGGGCGTGTCAGGAGAAATCCTCCACCCAAACCCTACGTACCCTAAGTCCTCGATCTTAAACCCTGCGCAGGCCTGGGGAGGCCTAGGACGTTGAGGGGTAAGGATTGATGGGCGGACTGGAGCCCCGAATAGGCTTCGGTCACAAAGATCGGTAATGCAAGCCGGGCCAGCAGAAAGCAATACCGTGCAAAAGGCTAGGAGCCTCCGGATGCCGGAGGCCCAATAACCCCCAAGTCATCAACCGTCGCACCGTTTGAACGAAAGATGTTCAGCTGGCCTTTTTGAAAGTCAGGCCCCTTGCGAAGGCCCAAACATCGTAACATGTTATTCCTTAGATCAGTATGACCCATCGCGAATGGGACCTTGTATTTGAGAAGCCCCAGACCACCTAAAAACTCAAGCCGTAAACTTTGAGTCCTGAACCTTAAGCCAGCGGCCAAGGTATATACCAGACATATAGAGACCCCAGGATTAAAGTTGCAGGTTCTTACCTTATGCCCACTCTATATCCCACTTTCCAATTCTTATTCCATGTTCTTTTCCATGTCAATTCTCCTGCTAATTACCATTAACCCTTGAGCCCATGTAGTCTAGTAGTTGCCATTGTATTTCCCGAGCCTCCAAGATAAAAGCCTACATGTCTCCCAGACCCTCAACCTCAAAACCCTAACCCCCTAAACCCCTAAACTCTAAACCCCTAACCCCCTAAACCCTTAAAACCCTAACCCCCTAAACCCTAAACCCCTAAACCGAAATTCCCTCATTTCTTCCTCACATGAGGTTGCTCTGGCCAATCAAGCCCTGGCGGAAAGGCCTGGCCCTCGGAGCATGTTGAGACCTTCTCAAAGTTAAACCCTAGGGGTTTCTGGGGGTTTAGGGGTCTCGGGGTTTATGCAAGGGGTCATGGAGACTCGTTTAGGGTCTAGGCGTTTAGGGTCTAGCGTTGAGGTTTTCTTGTAGCCTCTTTGATGTGGATGTTTTTCGGCGCAGGGCTTGTGCCCAGGGAGTTTCAGGAATTTCTGGGTGCTCGTGGGATTTATCGCGTGCTGCGTGGGGTATGTGGTGTGTTGGCATCTGCAGACTAAATACTGTGAACTTGGCGTGACGCATTAACAGTGTTTGGTGTAGCAACAGGGAGCTTCAGGTCCATGTTTTAGCAATGTGGTTTCACATTTCCGTGTGCTCATGGAGGTCCGTTGGTGCGTATAACCTCCTTACCACCTACCTTCTAACCAAGTAATCGCTGCTGATCCGGCTGCCATGCACGTCCTTCATGCCACTTGCACAAGACAGAGACACGGGCTTTGGAACTCAGCTTCTGCGCTAAGATTCTAAAGATAGCCAACGACGCCGAACTGACACAGCAAGCAATTCCCAAAAACGTAGAGACAAAAGGTAAGATACAAAGAACAAGCAACTTGTCTCTTGTGCGGCTATGGCATTAAGAAATACAAAAAATCACCACAAGCCAAATACATCAAAAGAATCTACAAGAGAACTTATATAGTACGATACATCAACACGAACTTTTGAACATCCGAAATTCCTTCACCCTTAACCCTCTGAGCCTTTTCAGCAATTGAAAAAAGCTGTGCCACAATAAATCGCATCATCTACGCCACTCCCTCCNNCCCCCCCCCCCCCCCCAGCCCCAAGCCCTGAGTTTCCGAAAATACCATAAATTCTAGCTACTTGGGTACTCATTGGGAAGATTGGGTTTTTAGATACCCCTATTTGATTATGCTTGTTGATTTCAGGTAGAAAATATGTGTGGGGGTATAGGGAGTGAATCATCTTCGCAATAAGCGTGCCCCTACAGAACTTATATACTCTCCTATACCCCTGTATAGTAAAGGCCTCGTATACCCCCTAAACCCTTGTACAATCATGTCTAAACCCTAAACCCGAGGTACTTAGAGGCAAGCCGCCTCAACCGCCTGGGCATTGAGCTAGACCTGCAGAATCGCTGGGAAGAGGCTAGGGCCCCAGGAGTGAGGGTTCAGGGTTTAGGGTTTGTAGGGTTAGCATAGGACCTTATATAGGGTTATGTGGGCTGGATGTTGTGATCTATGAGGAAGTTGTTCAGGGATTGGAGCTGAGGGTCCGATTTTAGGGGGTCATAGGGCCATATAGATAGCCACAGGTATACCGGGAGATATTGGGACCTTTAGGGGTAGGTGGGGTTCGGTATTGTGCGAAGTTGCTCCAGTCCTTTCAGAGGGGATATTGCGTGGCGTATATTCGGTTTTCAGGGTTTCGGATGGGGTTTTCGGTCAGATGTAGCAGCTTGTCCTTAGCAGAACTCCTACATCTACTTCTAATGGCTTATATGTCCTTGGATCCCTCAAGGCCCCTTTTAGAAGCTGCCCATGCACTTTCAAAGAACAATCTAGCTGAATGCACACAGATTGCCTTCGGCATGTTGGTGACTGCACAAATCCGTGATGGACGGGGTACCATTTGGAGAGACCAGAAATGAATATCCCAAGCCAGAAAATGCATGGTCCGCACAAGATTCTTGCGTTAATTGTCTTGCTTCCTATACGCTTAGCTATGACGTATACATATATGCATATCGTGTACTGCTTGCGTTGCGTGAGGTTCTGATTGGGGACTCTGACGAATGTTGCCATCACGGTTTTTGCCATTTGCATGCCTATCATCACGTTTAGGCACCTGAATTTATTATTTGATATTGTGGGGGGGGGAGGTAATATTAGGTGGAGGGATTCTCAGTGCGTCTAGGCATTACTGTTCGTCGCCCGGTTTCTTTACTGCTACTGCTTTTGATGAAGAGGTGGATGCGCACTTCTGTCATTGCGAGTACCCTAAGCCCTACAAGCCTCAAGCCCCAAACGCTACAACCTAAACCCTAGGCTCTAAACATTGTAAAAACCCTAGAGACCCAAACCCGAAGCTCTAGGCCCTGAACGCTAAAAAGCCTCGAGCCTTAAACCCTAAACCCTTGAACTACAACCCTGTTGCAGTTAGTTCTCCGAGATAGCAAGCTTGCCCCAGGCAGCCGCCCTTCTGAGAGAAGCGCAGAAGGCTGGGGTGAAAGAGATTTCGGGGCTTAGCGCTTTGGGTTTAGGGCTTTTTAGGGACTGTGGGGTGTAGGGTTTTTAGGATTTGGGGTGGTTATGGGACTTAAGGTTGAACATGTGAGCTATAGTCAGCATTCACGGCCCCCCCCTCCCCCCCCTTATGGTCCATGATATAGAATAGGATTAACCTAGCCTCCCTCCCCCCCTGTACTCCTGTGGTCCTGTGATCCTGTGGTTTGGGTTTGGTGGTTTGATTGAGAGGTTTAGATGAGGATGACAGAATTTTATAGTGTTTATGGAGGGGTTCTATGGGGTTCTATAAGTTTTTAAGAAGGTTTGCAGACGGTTCATTAATTAAATAGAAGGTGTTTAGAGGTCTCGAGAGATTTTTTGAAGAGGTTTCTACTAGGAGTTTAGACTAAAATTCATGTAGGTTCTAAGATCTGAGATCTATCTGTGGAGGCCGGGCCTCATGTAATCAAACTACCACACCGGCGTTATCTGGATATGGCAGGAGTTGCAAGAAGTTCCTGCAGCAAAGTGGGACTGTGCATGCAAGCACGCCAAAAGGGGGGCCCCTGACCTTCAGCCCTAAACCTTTTAAACTCAACAGCAGTGCCCCCAAAAAAGTCACTGAAGGCCTCATTTCCATCATTCTATTAATGAGGTGGTTAAAGACTCACACAGTTGTTTAAAGTAAAGGTTCAGGGATCTTTTCTCACAAGTAGAGAAGTAAATGCAAAGCAACATTGAAAACCAAATGAAAACTGCAACCATGCAGAGGCGTCTAGGGAGAATTGGGGAGAATTGCCCATCCAATGGTCCCTAGATTCCTTGTATAATGATGGATGGGGTTCCCTGAACAGACCTCACCATGCTATGTTCATTTGAGCTTCCACGCTAGGATCACTTTAATCGCACTTCCACATCAGTGTTCTTCCATCCGGCTTCCAAAAATCTCTGACCAAGCCACAATCCCGCGCAGAGAGAGCTGGACTTAAGAAATTCCACGCTAACGTCGCTGAACCCTGAAAGCTAAACCCCAACTGCTGTACGAGAGCCAGACATTGGGGCCAAAATTTTGGCAACCCCTCAGGAGGATGTAGGAATCTTTTTGCCAGTTTGCCTCTGCGATTCTTTTATCGATTGGGCTAAGGCCGAGCAATGTGAAACGGAAGCTCTGAATACTGAATCCCCAAAGACATTAAAAGACACAGCGCTGAACACCTTCAAAAGGGAGTTTGTCAATTACTCCCTACACATCCTACAGAATCCTTGACATATTTCCCGAGTTCCGCATATATCCCTTCATTCAAGTATATATCCCTAGATTTCACTGGGGCCCTCTGATGCCATAGACCCCAGCGTGAGAAGGCCGCGCCGGACGACCCACTGATCACTAGCAACCTTGGTACGGTCCGCGGCTTACTGGGTCGAAGGTCTCTAGCTGCAAGCCTTAAGTGCTCAGCGTCTAGGATGTACTGTAGGGTTTAGGCTTCATTCAGGCTTTGGGGTTTAGGCTGTAGGGTTGTAGCCCGGGTTGAGGCACCACCGGAATTTGATGAGTGGATCCCCATAGTAGCACCTGTTTAATGATGCGCAGTACTACAGCCGCTTCCATTTTTGCATTCCCTTCATTCCCTACTGGCAACCAGCAAGTTGGCATATCTCCCCGGAAACCCAAGCTTCTTTTACACTCCCCCAAACTAACATGGAAACCCATATAGCCCCAGTTTAGAGGGACTGTAGTCTTTATGGGGCACCTTTTGGGTTTCCATGTTAGTTTCCAGGAGTGTAAATTTGGATTTCCTCATGTTCTCAGTTGATACCCCTAAGAGCTAAGTAATAGTCTCTATTTTGTTTTCCATGCGTTGGTTCCCCACTCGCAACCAGAAAGTTCAATAAGCACTCATGCATCCCTAATCGTCCTCCAACCTAATCACAAAATCTTACACCTACCCACGAGCGCCTCGGGTGAGCTATAGCCTAAACTCCTTAAAAGGGGGATATAGGGGATTATACAGGGGAGTATGGAAGATTTAGGGCTTAGTGTTTAGGGCAGCGGTTATTCAGGGAGATACTAGGAGTTTAGACAATGGCTCAGGTGATCTACAAAAATGCAACGCACCGATCTTCCGGCTGGAATGAGGCGGGCGGATGTTGTTTCTTGGGGCCAGCAGGGTTTAGGCTTTGTCTTGATGGCGGACGTGTTTATAGGGGTTCTGGAGGGATATGCTCAGATACACTGTTTTGAGGTTGTTGAGTTTGGGGCTCATGGCGTTGAGATTTCGTGGTCAAGAGTTTGATTTGTCAGATGAAGAGTTTTGGGTTTTGTGGCTTTGAGCCTAGGGATTTGAGTTTTCGAGTTTAGTGTTCAAGCTTATCAGTTGAAAGCTTAGGGTTCAGAGGTTGGCGCTTTCGAGTTTGGAGTTGGTAGAGTTCATGATGTGGGGGTTTTGGTAGGTGGACCCCCCCCGCCCTGTCGTAGTGGCATAATAGGAAGATAAGAGGACACGAATATCATCACCAGTATCCCTTATAGTCACTATTCCTGGGTGGTGGGTCCATCTAAGGCCTATGGGGCATCAGGATTCTGCATACCCTTGTGGGTTCCTGTTCAGGATTTGCTTTGCTCGTAGCATTTATAGGGGAATATTGTGTAGGCCGTTCGTCCCAAAGCTCCAGGAAGAAGAAATTAGTATTATTCCGATTACCATGACCATTACTATGACTTTTACTAAAAGGATAACTATGACTATTACTAGTACTATGAGAAGGGCAGTGCGTGAAGGTGTACCCCGGAGGTCTGAGGCATGCACATTGCCGGAAAGCCTGGGCCTTTGGCCATAATTTTAAACCCCAGTCCCTCAACAGCACGGCTAGAGAGAGGGAGGGAGGAGTGGAGGGAGGGACAGAGAATCCCCGTAGAATTCCTAAGAAGTACCCCCCATAATCCCTTTGTAGTCCTCATATGAGCTATAGTCTAAACTCCTTCAAGGGGGTTATATAGGGGATTATATAGGGCACTATCATAATCATAGGGGTGATTAAGGGGTATACTAGGAGTTTAGACTACAGCGCATATATTTCTGTATTATAACCCCTATATATATAACCTATATAATCCCTAGAATTCCTATAGTTTCCATGTTCTTTTCCATGATCCCTATATAATCCCCCTAGGGTCCCTGTAGGGTGCCCCATGTTGAGAGAGAGAGGCAGGCAGCACCTCTCTACGATCGTGCCCGGGAGCTGGTCGAACGTGCCCACAAGCACTTGCCAGGCACGAGCTTCATTTGGTAGTTTCCCAAAATTAGGGGTACCCTTTTTAAAGGAGTTTATAGGGGTTCATATAGGGATAATGGAAAAGAAAATGGAAACTACAATTTAGGGTTTAGGGTTTTCCAAAATTAGGGGTACCTTTCTGGGGGTCTTTCTATATTAAGGATTCTAATATTTTTGGGTCTATATTCAGGTGCCCTTATTTTGGGAAACTACCATTTAGCATGGTTTGGGCTGGGGTTTGGGTTTACAGTCCCCCTCAAGTAGATAGACTATGGGGTATATGGGGGTCTTATTATAGTATACCCAAAGCCTTTTAAGGGGGACTGTAGGGTTTAGCTGCGTGTGTATGTCTGTCTGTGTCTTTGTGTTTCTACTTCGATGTTTGGTTGAAACGATGGGTCGCTGCTGCCGTGCCCATTATTCAGCCAGAAGCTCGCAGAAGGTAGAGATGTGCGGCGTGCTCCTTAAATCTACACCTGGCTTCGCTGCGGTGGGAGCTTCGCTTCAGTTGCCAGAATGTGGATCGAAAGTAGACAGTGTGGCTTTCTTGGTAACTTAACTTAAGACCCCGTGCAGCAAAGCAGTAATCCTCTGTTGTGTGCGCTCTCGACCCAGTGAACCCCGAACTCCAAGCCCAAACCCCAAATCCTACAGCCTAAATCCTCAACCCCCAGCCCCAAACCATCTCAAATCCCAAAACCCAAAATCCCAAAGCCCAGACCCAAAACCCAAAACCCCAAATGCTAAACCCTAAACCCCAAACTCCAAGGCCCAGACCCAAATCCATAAACCTTGACTCTAAGCTGCAACCAAAAAGGAGCCAAGCTTACCTTGTGAGGCCTCAGCGCCACTTTCGGATTTAGGTGTTAGGATTTAGGGGTTTAGGCTTTATAGGATTTAGGGTTTAGGATTTGGGGTGTAAAGTTTAAGGTTGTGCAGATACAATGGAACGTTGTGATAACGACCATGTCATCTGGAAATCCCAACCCACAGACTTCAGCCTCTGCTGCGTCTGGATTGAAAGCATGCGAGTACAGCGGCCGCACAGCCAAACCTCGAGAGTATTCAGCACCGCGTCAATGCCGGACTAGACCCCGATCGGGTTTAGGGTTTAGGGCTTGTTGAGACCTGAACCCCGCAGTGCTACAGTGATCCTTCAAAAGATCGACCCAAGAACCCTATGGCTTTTCGGGAAGCTCCCTCAACACGCTTTTTCTCTAATTCTGTGCTCTATCCGGGTTGCAGAGAACTTAGAGTTACCCCGAACAACCCTGAAATCTAATCCCAAACCTTGGGGCCCTAAACCCTACACCCTGAATTCGAGCCCCTAGCCCCATATCAGATAAGCTATAGTCTAAACTCCTATAGTATCCCCCTTGAACAACCCCTATAATTCTCCCCTTATATAATAATCCCCTAAATAAGCCCCTGAAAGAATTAAGACTATAGCTCATATGGGGGGTTGTCAAAATTATGGCCCCTTTTTGGATCCTTTCTATAATACGGCACCGAATATTTAGGGTACCCAAAAAGGGGACCATAATTTTGACAACCATCCATATGTTGGAGCCCTAAGCTCCGGTCTCTGTCTTGTGGACGAGGCAACCCGGCAGTCAGGAAGAGCCTGAAGGAGGTTGTGATGTTCAGGGTACAGGGCTTAGGGTTTAGGTTTTAGGGTTTAAGGTTAAGGGTTTACGGTTTAGGTTTTAGGGTTTAAGGGCTTGAGGGTGAAGGGTTTAGGTTTAAGGCTTTAGGGTTTAGGTTTTAGGGTGTCAGGGCTTAGGGTTAAGGGTTTAGGCTAGAGTTCAGGGCCGGGTGCGGGGCTAGGCTCTCGTGTGCTGATGGTTTACTTGCCTGTTGTGAGTATGGAGGGAAGGAATGTTTCGTTTTCTTTTGTGCGGATTGGGGTTAGTTGCAGGGAGCCGATCCTTATCATTCCTTATTCATTCCTTACCACCCATAAGGCAAGTTTGCGGGCGGTGTCAGGTTTTTGTTGTTCATTCTTAGCAATAGTTCGTTTTGGCTGTCACAAACAGTAGTTGCTGTGAGTAATTGTAGTTGGGGTAAGGGTTCTTCTTGTGCAGAACCTTCGACATAGGCCCCTCACTTTGACATACCAGAAGGACTTGGTTTGCAGAATCTCCGTCATGTGCAATCACCATGCCGTTAAGTTGTCAATCCCAAGCTTTAAAGCTAAGCTTCCGGAATCTCGACCTTAGCCTGGTCCCGGATCTTTCCCTCTGCGCCACCACTCCAGCAGTAAGCCAGACTTTGCCGCAAGCTCCAAGGGCTGTGGGTCTGGATTATGTCGTAACTGAACTGCGAAGGCTTAGGAAGCTCATTAAACCTCGAAAGCTAAGTCGAAAGCTCAGTCAGGACTCCAGGAGTTTTAAGCCCCTAAACATACATGGTAGCTTCACAATATGAGGGATTTCAGAAAACGTTTAGGGTTTAGGGCTTAAGGTTTATGATGAGGGTCCCCCTTGAAACCTCCCACATGGCTTGACCGCCAAGTATGTCAGGTGCAACGCTTACAGGCCTCCATGAACGCCTGGCGTGAAAATGCTCATTTGCGAGAGCTGTGCTTTCCTCAGCATCCGCCCCTAGACCCTAAACTGGTTTGCTGTCAAGGAACTTAAACTAAGTTACAATATAGAGCATATATACTGTAGTAAATTGTAGGGTTTCCCCAATATAGTGATTTAAACTCAGTTCCTGAACAGCAACCCAGTAAAACCTCGTTTGGGGGTTGTGAGAAGCAGAAGGCCTTGGCTGGGGAGCTCTATAGCAAGGATGGTTGCATTTTTGAGTACATATTGGGATCCCGAAGTTTATGGAAACTTCTATTTCGTAATTTAGGATTCGCAAGATCGTAGACTAATGGGGGTCCTGATGCTTTTGAGGCAACGTTTGTGTTTCAGACCTGATGCAAGCCTCAAGTACATCAGGAATCCTTCTGGAGAAATAGTCCGCAAGGCCTAGGCAAGGAGTGATCGAGAATTTGCAAACGAGCTTTGCCAGGAGACCACCGAAAAAAGATCCTGGGTGAAGTTGTTAACCCTAAATCCCAAGCCTCAAACCCTAAGCCTCAACCCTAAACCCTAACCCTAAACGCTAAACCCTAACCTTAAACCCCAAACCTTAACCTAAAACCCTGTCAATAAGTATCACCTGTACCGAGCACTCAAGTACTGTGTGTCGGGTTAGCCGACAGAATACCGTTCACGCTCCCTGTTATGCTTGAACATGGGCAATGTGGTTTCTAATCAGGTGCCTCTTTCTTTTTTTTGGGGGGGTGTCCTACAAGAAGGGTTACAGCATTTTAGAGGCTACGTTGTGGTGCCCTCCTCATGGAAACTACCAAACATAACCATGAAGACAAGATTAAACTAGATTTTCAGATTGCTTCTGGAGTGAGCTCAGTTCACGGGAATGTCGTTTCCTTAGAACCCTCGTGCAAGTATGCCCTTCGCATTTCCATGTAGGCGTGTCCCAGAACTCTGAAAAGAGGTGGTCTTATATACCTAAACCACCGGAATTATTGTGCTGAAGTATACTTCGGATCATGCGGCATTTTGCTGATCAAGAGTACCGTCTCCTTGTCAGGTAAGGGCTGACGCCTGAACCTGCATTCCTGAACTAATTTGCAAATCGGCTTGGGATTGAGGGTCTAGGGCTTAGAAATCCAGCGCTATAGAAATCCTTTCAGACTCCCTCATCACGCGTCCCAAGCTCTGAGCCCTTTAGGGTTTAGGGTTTAGGGTGAGCCCTATCATCCTACGAGGTTATAACTACAGAGCCTTCTGTCCCTAAATGCCTCCCTTTCGCATTTGAATTTGTTTCTCCACAAATGAGAGCATAGCC